TGTCTTTTTGTGGTTTCAGTTCTTCTGACAGTGAACATGAAACATCTCATCATTCCAAGAGGCACAAACAGAACAGGCCCAGAAAGGTAGTTATTTTGAACTATTTTCTCAACTTGTTGAATAATATGCTTTAGTTTTTTATTATACACTACCTGGTTGGATTTCAGATCAAAGATAAAGAGAGAGAAAACTCATCAGCACAAATGTCATAAGCATAAAGATAAAGAGGTAAGCTACTTTCTTTTTTGCTGAAGCATGAAAATGGATGCGAATTTTGTGTTGAACTGATTTGTCATTGAACAAGTAGCATTATCGGGGTGAATTACCGGGATTGTTTTCACATGTCATCCTGATTAATATTCATATTATTGTTTATAATAAGGTTCTAATAGTATTTTCTGTCTGTTTATGAAATGGCTCTTCAAAATTTGGAGCTGGGGTCTGTGACATGATGGTGGGCACTTGATTGGCTTTGCTTGGATGTTGTTTCTTGTGGTTTTGTCATGGCAATGTGAGCCATATATAGAAGCAGCAGGAAGAGAGTAGTGGTCCTGTACAGCTCTCCAAGGTTCTTTTATGCTTGAAATAATTCAAAATTTGCATGTCCAAGAGATAACGATAATGGGAAAAAGATTTGGTTTTGCTAACGTGTTTAATATTTCTAGTTCTTGGGAAGTGACAAAGATGATGGTGTACGTCGCAGTGCTGTCTCTGGCAAGAAGGTAAGGCCTTTCTCTCACACATTTTGGTTGATTTTTTTGACAACTAATGAATTGTTGAAATCCTTCAATTTATACGTGCTCTCTCTGTTTTCTTTTGTAGATTCAATTGAAGCTCGAGAGAACAAAGGTGGACAAGTTAGCAGAGAACAATCGAAATGAACTACTGCGATTCTTGAACGCTAGTTATGATTGACGAGGTTGGGAAAGTAAGGTTCTATTGTCTGAGTAAAAACTTACACATTTTCTTTTGCTAGTGATGAGAAGTTAATGTTTGTTTAGAATGCTATGTATTTTGTGATGTTGTCCATCATGTTAATTTGAACACTAAAAATATTTATTTGATAGAAGTGGGAAAAAATTATTTGACTTTTGCCTTTTATTACTAGACATAAATGGTTTTTTAAATTGTTGAAAATTTGTCTTCTTTTACGTGTGTTGCGCTATTAATAATAGCAATCGAGCTGATTTTGGTTCGGCGTGGTCGTGATTGTACTTTGTTGGGTAGGAAACCTGGTTGATGAGCTTGAAGTGTTGCACATTTTTCATCTATTTCATGAATTGAATTGCATGGCATCGCACATAGTTCCTCTCGGGAATCTTGGATTGAAATGATTCCGGAGATTTTATTTGTGCGTAAAGCAATTGCTATACGATTTGATTGAGAATCTTCTCTCCTCTACTCTCCATCAAAATCAATGGAGGAGTTGGGCTTCAATGTTATTGTATCACATTCCAATATTCAAACGGAGTATTCAGTTTTTCTAAAGTTAAAACTTCTTGTGAATTCACACTTTTTCCTTTGCATTATTCTTATTTTAAAGGAAGGGCATTTGTATCGACGTGCAACAAAAATTAGAGTTGTTTAGACGATCAATACCCGTTGCACATTTACCATTTTTTAAATACTCTTTCTGTCGAGTTTAACTTGGCAAAAGTAGTGTTACAACCATATATTTGATTGGCTAAAAAACTAAAAATGGAAGGATTGGATGGTAAAGGTAGGGATGAGCACGGTTCGATTTAAAACGATTTGCGGCAAATTTTCAAATCAAATCACTAGAAGCAGTTTAAAAATTTTGCAAGCCAACCAAATCTAATGGCTTCACCCATTTTTTGGGCTTAAAATTATGGTTTACCCCAAAAAAAAAAAAAAGAAAAAACAAACATATATTGAACCAGAATTATTAATAGGTTCGGTTCAAAAGAGAATCAACAAAACTCGAAATTTTCATGTATTTAGTAAATGGAACCGTTGGGTCTAAATTTAATTATGGAACCGTTCAGGTTTGATTTCATTCTGTTCTATTTGGTTCTAGGATTTCGTGCATTAATTAATTTTTTTATACTAAAACAATGCTACATTAATTCGACTATGACATGTTCAATCTTAACTATTACAAAATTACATAGTCAAATCTCGTGATATCTTTTGCACCTCTATTTGTTGAGTTATTCATAGATTTGAAAGTTAAAATCATAGGAATAGGAAGATGGTTAGTTCACAATAATAGAACGGTAAAAATGACACTACGGTAGAATAAGAGATTTGAGTAAAATTTAGGTCAATTTGATTAATTTGGGCTGGCTGAAAATTAGAAATAACAAAATCATATTTTGAGTTTGGACTAAATTATTTAGTTAACAATTTATTTAAAAAAATAAAATAATTTGACTTATTTAAGATAAAAAAATTAAGGAGATTCGGTTCTTGATCAAGAATCGAGAACCGAAGCAAATCCGTCAGTTCTCGATTTAGATATCCGTTCGAGTATTTAATTTAAGAAGAATCGCTCAATTCGGTTCGAGTTTGGTTCTGTCCGATTCGATTCGAGAGTTTTGTCCAACCCTAATTGGCACAACATCTCAAGTTGTAACACATAATTCATTATCTACATAAAGATAAGAATATAACAAATAAATTTATTTGTTATAGTTAAATAGTATAAAAAACTACTAAAAGAAATGAATAAAAATATCAAATACATTAATATCTTATACAACTTTCTCTAAATCATTTAATCCTTCACCTCTTTCAAATACTGCGAATCACTATAGGTTTTTTTATTACTGTGCAACTAATTCTTAGTGCAAATTACCAACTCCACCAAATCTTTACAATGATCATTTTAGTAGTCAATCAAATCATTTTGAATGGATGTGTATAGTTTTAATTAAGTTGGATAAAATTTAAATTATTATTATTATTATTATTGAAAGTACGTAATTCGACCATAACAACATCTAGAGGGGGGTGGGTGAATATGTGATTATACAGAATTAAAAATTGTTTGATAATTAACTAGCAACAAGTCACTATTAATTATTTTTCTAAACGATTAAACATGCAATTCAATTAATCTTATGTTGAAATACCGCAGTTATGTAAGTAATAAATGAACACAAGAATTGATCACTAAGAAATCTAATTGGGTAAAAATTTCGGGCACTTTGCCAGTCAACAATCCACTATAAACAATTTTTAACTTACAGTCTACCGACTAGACGATGACACGTACTATCTGATCTCCTGACTGCAATTCCAACAGCTCTCTTGAATTCTGTGCTCCCAGCTGTAGTTTCCAAAGTTCTCCTGGATTGTGCTCTCCTGTAATAACTCCCAACTTTTGAAATCGTCTATCTCCTGTGGATTCACGAAGAACACCGCGTTCTTCAACGACTGGAACTCCAGTCACCTTCCTTTAATTTTCAGAAACTCTGACATATATGAGGGAAGCAGCAGTTTGGTATTTGGATTGTGAAACTGAAGTTTTTCACCGTAAAGAACAGATTAATTTGAATAATGAAAGTTGAATGCTTCAGAGGATGAAAAGAATATGAAAGTAGTGTTTTTTCTCAATAATCAACCTTGGAAAAATACGTTCTGCGGTGTTCAAGTATTTATATGTAAATTAGAGTATGAATGAGCCGGACAAAAAATTTTTAAAAAATGAAATAAAATTTTCCTTAATAACAGTGTCGCTCGAGCGAAGGTCCAGTGACAGTGTTGCTCGAGCGAAGGTGAGGTGATAGTTGAGCGATAAAGTTTCTGTTTCTGATACTTGAGCCAAACCTTGACGAAAAGCTAGCTAAATTTCGCGTCGTTTTTCTTTCTTTCCCATTCTCGAACCCTAGATCTAAAATATCATAAATTTCACTAATTGCACATTACTCCTTGACTTTTTACAACATATCAACTTTAGTCCTTTTTGTTCACAGAATAGCCAATTACATTAAATACCTAACAAACTGCCCCTTGGCATTTTGTGGCAAAACTACAATCTAAGTCAAGCCAGTATTAAAATAAATTACAGACTCAAAACAACAGATACAACCAATAACTATCTTAAACGAATTCTGCATTTCATTATTCAATGCCTGTTTCCTGAAATAGACTGCTCAACTACCCAGTGTAAAATGTATGTGAAACAGTATTAAGTGTAAAAATAGTTTAAGCAGTTCACAGTGTAAAAAGTGATTTAAGCAATTAATAAACTATAATGCAACTTTTCAACTTTATCATGTGCTAAATTAAGATATAATATCAATGCAATCCAACATACCAAAAAGAAACATTGATACTAATAAAACAACAAAACTTAATTTAGCAAAAATTGAAAATATATCATATAANTATCAATGCAACCCAACATATCAAAATGAAATATTGAAACTACTAGACATCAAAACTTAATCTAGTAAAAATTGAAAATATATCATATAATCAATATCAAAAGTTTTAGATACATCAAGTAGTAGACAAAAAAATTTACATCATGTTAAAGCAAAGATCTAAAACACATCTACTCATCATTTTTGTCACAAAATGACAAGAGGTAATCCAAAAACTAATCAGCATTGGCTGCATTGTCAAAATCAATCCTCTCCTCCAAAGCGGCATTATCATCCCAGTGACAACGAATCCATCGTAGCCCATGCTGAACAAATCCAACATCACCCCAAAGCGTAGCAAACTTGGTAGTGTGTTGATCGCCTGTAGCTGTGTAAGCTCTGCCATCATCCTAGCTTGCTGTTCGATAGGTATGGTTATCTGCCCATAAAAGCAACAGACGGGTTAATGGGAACAGACTCAAGAACGGTGGAACAGACTCGAAGGGAGGAGGAGCAGACGCGGATGTCGAGGGAATATTAGCAGGCAGAGGAGCAGATGAAGAATGAGGGAAATCAGATGGATCAACAGAGACAAGTTCATTAAAAGGATCACCTGACATAGTCGAATCAACTGGCCCAACGGTTCAGAAGAAGCATGTGACCTACTCTAAGCAAAAGTAGTGTGGCCAATCGGCCAAGAAACCCTCCGAGGAACCCCCTCTGGAAAACTAACGCCTAAGACTGTCACTAACTGATAAATCAAACAAGCATATGGTAGCCCCACCCACGTCCCCGTGACCCTGAAAGCCCGAAGAATCTACTGGCAAATAAAGGTGAGAAGATCAACAAAATCACCATGCAGCAATGCGTATAAAAATCGAGCCCTTTCCATAGGTAACGAAGAAGTATGCGACACGGGCTACAGATTCGTGCATACAATGCGTAACAGAATCCGGCGATCAGTGGGTAGAGATCCAGTGTGCATCTCACCTGGACCACCCTCAAATGGTGTGTTAAACATCGTAGAACGGACCAGAGAGTTCGATGGAAGAGTATCAATAGAAAAATAAGGGAATAAAGGATGAACGATCCTAGGGATATGTACTAGACTGGATAAGACATCAGGTGTAATCATAACCATCCTACCCCAAAGAAAAACCTTAAAAGACGAACCACTAACATTATGAATATTAGCATAAAACTCTTGAACAAGAAGGCTAGGCGGAGGCATCAACTGGACCAGTAAAGGCTCCCATCCCCAAGAAGTGAAAATAGCAGCGAGGTCAGGTGTCAAGTCAGACAGAATGACCTCACGCTCAAATAAAACGGTACGTAATGAAAACTGCGACCCAAAAGTATCTTGGGCAATCGCAGAGACAAACCTAGACCTACTATATGAAAAAGAGGTATCAGGTATCAAGCAGAACGAGACCTCTTAGGTGGCATCTGAAACGAGTAAAACCATTATATCAATACCATGATTGAAAACATGATATGCATGAGATACAAGAAAGCACACTAATTGAGGTAAATTTCATATGCAACACAAGTGGATGGATGCACAAAATGATGCCGTAGTGCCTA